TTCGCTTTAGGCCTCCAATCACGTTGAGCCGCCCCTGTGTTAATGCATGTATTGTAACATGTGGAGGTTTATGTCCTGGTCTCAATACAGTTATCAGGGAATTAGTATGTGGCCTATACTCTATGTATGGTGTAACAAGAGTGATAGGGATAGACGGAGGATATCGAGGTTTCTATTCCAAAAACACGATTCCTTTGACACCTAAGGTTGTGAATGATATCCATAAACGTGGTGGAACGATTCTTGGGTCATCTCGAGGAGGTCATGTTACGAAGAAAATAGTTGATAGCATTCAGGACCGGGGTATCAATCAGGTTTATATAATTGGAGGAGATGGAACACAGAAAGGAGCATCGGTGTTATTTGAGGAAATTACAAGGCGTGGTTTGAATGTTGTAGTTGTTGGAATCCCCAAGACAATCGATAATGATATACCAGTTATTGACAAGTCTTTTGGTTTTGATTCCGCGGTTGAGGAAGCTCAACGTGCTATTAATGCTGCTCATGTTGAAGCTACCAGTTTTGAGAATGGAATTGGGGTTGTGAAGTTAATGGGACGGAATAGTGGTTTCATAGCGATGTATGCTAGTCTTGCTAGTCGAGATGTTGATTGTTGTTTGATTCCAGAATCTGATTACTATCTTGAAGGACGTGGTGGAGTGTTTGAGTACATAGAACAAAGGCTGAAAGAGAATGGACACATGGTTATAGTTGTAGCTGAAGGTGCTGGACAAGATGATGAGCAAGTTGATGTTGGTTTATGGATATCGAAAAAGATAAAGGAGCATTTTTCGAAAGAAAAGAAGATGATCAATCTTAAATATATAGATCCGACATACATGATTCGGGCTATTGCAAGTAATGCATCTGATAATGTGTATTGCACTCTTGTTGCTCAAAGTGCTGTACATGGAGCAATGGCTGGGTACACAGGCTTTACGGTTGGTCCTGTCAACAACACACATGCTTACATACCCTTTGATAGAATCACTGAGAAGCAAAACAAGGTTGACATTACGGACATGATGTGGGCGCAACTTCTATCTTCAACCAATCAACCTAGCTTCTTGTCAACAACGAGATCAGCCGATATAATTGAAGCAAACAAGGGCGAAGAACCACCTACTCAATTATCAGACGAAGAAACAAATCCTTGCTAATTAGTAACTTTTTGAACATTATACATATATATATGGTCCCTTGTAACGGTAGTTTGACATTTTGTGAGAGAATTCTACACTTCTGTAATCTCAATAAATTGTACATAGTTTTCAATAAAATCGTTTTACTGAACGAAACCAATAATCCAACATTTTCATTCATTATATTTCAGATTTGTCTAGTACATTGCATTTTAACTTGCAGCCATTTTGTTGGAATGTATGCGTCCACTAACAGTCAACGGATTTGTCCCTTGACACAGTAATAACAATAATGCAAGTACAAACAGTAGAGAAAATAACGCAAGCAATTAACGTGGAAACCCCCTAGTTCAAGGGCGGTGAAAACCACGACCTGTCCTCACAGGCTTTTCAACCCAACTCCATTTCTCTCAAACGGAGCAACAATTCAGATTACAATTGCTTGCAACCTAGGAATTTACCTGAAAATCCCTTCCCCCTCAATGTAGCAACTCTACTACAAAGAGAACAACTAAGCAATAACACTATTGCCCACTAAGCTACCCAACACGTGATAACTTAGACTTTAACTAAGCAACACACAAGGTTGCCCACTAAACCACCTAACTAGATGACTTAGAATTTGATTAAGCAGCAACACTGCTGCCCACTAAATCAGTTAATCACAATTGACTTAGACTTTAGGATGAACTGAACAAAAGATCTATTTTCTTTATAACTTAGGAATAGATTTACAAGTTAAGCACGGAAGTAAAAACCTAAGACAACTAAGACGCAAGCAGCTCTATCAGGTCCCTATTGCTCTTGAGGAGAATACTTCTTGAAAGGAGTGGTTTTTGCTTGAGTTCTTGATAATTTCAGGAATGCAAAAACTAAGGTTGTGTCTATAGAGGATGACCTTATGAAGGATAGACACAACCTTCGAGACCATGCTATTGGCCGAGGATTCTATCACACTTGGATACTGTGCACCAACCTCACCAAACTTTTGTACTTTTTCCAGCTTGTCATTTGTGTACATATCGACACAAGGATCAGCTCCCTTTACAAGGTCCCTTATTTGTCAAATCATCAAAACTGCAAATAACACATTTGCCTCATTTTTTTAAAAGTACCTTGCAGCTAGGCTATTTATGTATACTAGTGAAGCTTAATGCAAAAATTTTGAATCATCTGTGTCAAGGATTCCAATATCACCTGATATTTTTGCAAGTTCATTAAATTGGTCTATATCCTGTTAATTAAACAAATCGGTAGCTGATCTACCGAAAACAAAGGCAAATTAGAAACTATTTCTCACATGTTTCATAAATTTTCGAAACCCCTTGTCACTGTCTCGGCCATCTAAATTCTGCCTGAAGAATGGAGATTTCAGGCGAATCAAACAAAGAGATCTGATCAAACGTTCCTATGTGACTTGAAGCCAAATATAATGGTTCAATAATAGAACTGAAAGCCTCAATCACAAATGCTAAAAATTACTTGAAGTAAACAAATAATGCAGAGCTCCTCCTTTCCAAGAAAAGAAAAAAAAAAACAAAATCGGAATCTTTACACAATCATAGACCTCGATGATATTGACGAAGCAAGGTAGCAAAACGTACACTATATATCATAAAGTTTCATGATTGCGCGAAGTCTTTATCAAAAACTCAATACAAGGTAACATCTCTTGTATCCTGAGATAGAAATCTACTTGCAGTCTAGTCATGAAAAGCTCACTACTAGTAGATAATCATACAATTCGTGGAGGATCTTGGGCAACCTAACAATTTCCCAGCCATTTGAGATAAACTTGTGGACACAGTTGATTGAACATATCTCACACTTTATGCTCTTTGATATCACAAACTTCTCCAAAACCGTTGCATTCTTTAACAGACATTCTGAAAGTTTCATAAGCTTGTCAAAGCCCTGTTTGAAATGATCCTTAAAGCACACTCCGGAGGAACTGATAATCTTAACATTCTTCAGGTTGGGGAACCCAAAGCTTGAAATCCAACTTTGCAAATCAATATCACTCCTTTGGCCAAATATGCTAACTCAAAGCGGCAGTGGGAATCTTCGAGCTGGAGACAGAGAACATAATTAGGACCAAATGCAGGTTACCCTAATGGACGTTGCACAGATGTGACAAAAATGATTTCACAGTAGAAGTGTTTGGTACAGAAAATTTCAGAACCAACAAATCTAAATGGTACTTGTAAAAAGATTATGATGTTGTTCATAGCTTAAAGATTCATGGCGTATGTAACCCAAGCAAAGAGTGATGGTACTAAACCCTTTTCGTTTCAGAGCTCATTTGCCGTAAAGAAACCAACAACATCAATCTATCAACGTGAAGCTTTGCATTGAAAAAAGCAAACTTCTTACTGATATTTAAAGATATTAAAATTCTCCTTCAGAAACATTTTCAGGGGTGGTGGTTAAACTTCATAAAATGAATGGATATAAAAAGAAGAGAGGAAGTTACATGATCTGTTGATATATCTTTGTCGAGTGCAACCGTTGATATATCTATGTTGAGTGTCTCTACATGAGGTGATGCTCGCAGAAGGCCAGCAACTCCATACAAACTAAACTTCTCCTCATGCAACTCTAGAGTCAGATATTTGCATTTCAATTCTCGAAGCGGAATCCCTTGGAACTGCAACATACACAGAACCTGGTGCAACAATTCCAATTAAACTAATAATATAAAGAATGGAGAAAACAATAACAACAAAAAGGAAGTACTCCACAGCAAGAAAAGTTATGTGACAAATCAAATCATCTAAACACTTTAAGCAACATCGACACACAAGAATCCTGGTTTTCAGATATTTCTTTTGCCGATATGACAAGAAATATCCAACATCAGAAAGTTGACTAAAACGCATAAAAAGGCAACAAGTTTCTGCAAATAATCCAGTAATTTGAACAAACAGAGAACGGGACTCTGAGATAGAAATAAACCTCTGCGAACAAAGCTCCAATTGTTAACTCGTTTGCATTACGGAATGCTAGAAGATAAGTGTGGATGAGGGTCCTGAGGAAATGATGATAGTAACTACAACTGTCTTCATGAGGATCAAATTCCTGACACATGATCATCTAGGATGTCTTTGATACACCTAACGTTGAAGGTAAGCTTAGCAGTAACAACGGAGGGCACATCAAAAAGTATACACCTGAGATCATAAAGATCTCCTGAAATTTCCAAATGCTGAAGATATGGGGCATATATTTCCAAAATACGACGATAAAATTGAAGACCTACTTTCCAATGACCTTTCAGCTTCAATATCTTTAATTTTGAAGACGAAATTTCCATGCGACAAGGACCCTTAAGCAAAACTAAATCATATAATTTCATAGTTTCCAATGCAGGACATCCTGACAATAAGTTTGCAATTTTGTCATTGTCTAAAAACAAATTCCCCAACTTTATGCTCGTTAGAGACTTCCATGCTATGACCACATCAACATCAAACTTAATTCGACCCAAAACTAATGATATCAATGCCGGGCGAATGCACAGAAAGATTGAGTCAATGTGCATTCGTCCGGCATTAAATCAGTGGACCAGAGTACAACATGTTCCACTTTTCTTTTAACAGCAAAAGTAAGCCATTGGCTGATTTGAGATTGGTAGTCGTACACAAACTCGTTCGTGTAGTCGAGTTCAAATTTTTTAATTTTGGGAGAATCGGAATGAGCTAATACATAATCAACAAAGGGTACGAAATTTTCTCCATAATGGCTACAATTAAAAACGAAGTTATCAATTGAAGTCCAGAGATACTGCCACCTTTTCGAGAGAATAGAGGTTGTGAAGGCATCCTTTGTTGGCAAAAGAGAGAGAATCTGAATAAGAAGAGAGTCTGGCAAATCACTGATTCGGTCGACGGTTTCTTCGACTCCGGCGACACTCTTCTTTTGTAAATCATTGACTCGGTCGACGGTTTCTTCAACTCCGACGACACTCTTCTTTTGTTTCTTTGACGCCGGGCAATTACTGCGGGAATCCATTGTTTTGCTCTGAGTTATGGCTCAAAATTGAGAAGAACGGTTACTAAACCTATTTAAGCCTGTAGACCTGATTAGTTTGCATTTAATCCAATATATAGTAGTTTTTTTTAGAGTATCTTTTAATAGTCTGAATACATCTAATCGAATCAGATCTATGAAAGAGTTCTATTCAGACTTTGAAACTCGAGCTTTTATTTCTCTCTCAAGCTCGGGCATTAATTTCTTTTTTTGAGAGCAACTTCCTTCTTACTCATCTTTTTCAACTATCAATCAATCAATTTAATATTTTGTATTCTTGATTTCAATTCTCCATTTTCAATACTAGTTTTTAGTTTGGAAAATAGAGTTTAAGAAGATCAACAAGATGTCCACAACTTTAGTCAAATAAAGTAAAGAAAAGAAGAGCACTCAAAGTAGATATTTTACCATAGGCACTTAAATATGCTTTGAGAAAAGATTAATCTTAATAAAAACAAATGAGGCCTAAGTCTGGATATTTGCCAAAGTTTCAAATAAGTTAAAATTAGCTATATGAGTACTCACTCACCGTATTTCTCCATTGAATACAACCACAGACGGTCAAACGATCAAAGAAACGAGTCTTAAACTTACATTCATCTAACTCACAAGGCACATACCACCCAACCCACCCCGCTTATGATTTTCAAAAAAATTGCTTCAACCCACACCACACACAAAAGGACAGACCAGCCCTGCCTCGTTATCATTCCTAGGTGCCCTGTGAAGGTTGCCTTCAAATCAAAGAAAATAAGAGGGAAAATGAAGTAAACATCATCTACAGCTTACATCTCTTCTTGGCTAGATAACATTGAAATAATCTTGCAGGAGAGTTCCTCAAGCCAGAGTTTGATGAAGTTAAAAAGACAAAATACCAACTTATGTCTGAGTAAATAAACATGTCTTGTAGGTTTGCCGATCTCGACAGTTACAAGAAAACAACAGTTTTGCAAGAAAATTACAAACACATATATGCAACGACTAGAATGCCACAAGTTAATAATTTACATCTGCAGTAATTCAAAAGCTACAATATACAGTGACATTTCTAGTATGCCAAAACAAAACTTCTACTCTAGTCAATCCAAAGCAGACTCTTGGTAAATAATCAAGAGCTTCTTAGATGATCTTGGGCTGTCTAACAATTTCTTAGCCAATCCTGATAAATATTGGGACACACAGCTCTCTGAACATTCCCTGCAGATTCTCCTTTTTGATACAATGACAAACTTCTTCAAAGCCGTTGCATTCTTTAGTAGAAATACTGAAAGTTCAAAAAGCTTGTCATTGCCCCCTCCAAACCACTTTTTTCTACATTCATATATGCAGGCATCAAACGTAACATTCTTGAGATTGGGAAACACAGCGTTTGAAATCCAACTCTGCAAGATTATATGACGTCCTTTGTCCAAATAACGTAGCTCAAGTTGGCAGCAGAAATCATTAAACTGTAGTAGATAATATAATCAGAATCAAATGGAGATCCACAACAGAAATGGGAATATACCATGTAACACAAAAAGGAAGTGCATTTGCAATAGTCTAATATAGAATAATTTTCAGAAGCCACAAACCTTGAACAGTTCTCAGCAATTGATTACAATATCTTATCCCTACCAGATATGCTCAAGCAGTAGATGAGAAGTAAAACAAGGCTTAGTTTGTCACCATTGCTTTCTAAGTACATTTACCAGATAGAAAGCAACTACAGTGACAAAAAAAATTCTCAGTGTTAATTAAATTAATATTTCCATCCTCCTTAAGAAAATATTTGAACTGGTGAGATTGGGGCTGGGGAGTTCTTAAAACTTAAAAAATCAAAGATTTAAAAGCAAAGCATAAATTGCGAGAAATTACAGCTCTAGCTCTCAAGGGTATGTTGAGTGTCTCCAAAAGAGGCGAGTTCTGCAAAAGGCTAGCTGCTCCATACAAATTATTCTTTGTCACGTACATCTCTAAAGTTAGACACTTGCATCTCAATTTTGGTAGCAACACACCTTCGAGTCGCAACATGAACACAACCTGGTGAAATAATTTCAAAGAAATTAGTAAAGGATAGAGAAAAAATTGCTGGGAAAGAAAAAATAATCCACAAAAAAAAATAGTGCTATGACAAATTTATGTACTTTATAATTGCTAATCTAACCATCTAACCACTTTAATGAATAGCAATGCAGAAAGTCTAGTTTCTAAAAATATCCAAACTTCAAAGAGTAGATAGGAAGACCACAAAAGGCGAAGAGAAAGATCAATTTATATGGATAAAAAATTCAGTTAGTCGATCAAAAAATATTCTCACTAAAATTTTCGTGTATACAGAAGTTCATAATTTTATTAGATTCTGAAGGCTCTTCTCTTTCACAAGTTTACATTCCGCAATTTTCACTTGAACTTAAATAGAGAATAAGGTCTTTTGACATGAAAACAAACCTCTGCAAACCAGCGTCCAATTGTTAGCTCAGTTGCATAACTTAGTTTTTGAAGATAGTCCAGAACGAGATTTCTAAAACCTTGATGATAATCACTACAACCATCTTCGTCAGCAAACCCCTCGATCTCAGTTATACATGTAATGTTAAAAGTAAGTGTAGCAGTAACCAAAGAGGAGACATTTACTAGCTTACACTTGAGATAATCAAGGTCTCCTGAAATTTCCAAATGCTGAAGATACGGGGCAATAATTTCCAAAGGTTCATCAGCTCTGCCATAAAACCACCAGTAGCTTCCTAATGATAGTCTCTTTAAATTCGAAGAAGTGATTTCTAGACGGCGAAAACCTTCAAATAAAGACAACTCCAGAGTTTCCAAAGCAGGACAACCTGACAAAATCTTCGCGAGATCGTCATTATCTATAAAAACATAGTTCAACTTTAGGCTCTTCAACAACTTCCACTGTATAACCGATTCTTTATCAATCGCACAACAGCTCCAATCCAATGTAATCAATGAGGAACAAGTACAGATAGATATAGGCAATTCGAAAGTGAAATTGTCATCACATAAACACAATACAACATCTTCCACTTTTCTTTCCACAGCAAAATTCATCCATCGGCTGATACTCAAATCAAAGTTCCACTCAGAGTTATAAGGTAAAATGAGTTGGATTTTTTTGATTTTGGAACAAGTGCAATGAGATAAAACATGATCCACTAGAAATACGAAACTTTCTACATTGTTGTAGTAGCTACAACCATCGAAATGGAAATTATCAATTGAATTACAGAGATAACGCCACCTTTTTGAGAGAACACATGATGCGACGGCATCTTTCGTCGGCAGAAGAGAGAGAATTTGTATGAGAACTGCGTCCGGCAACTTACTGATACGATCTAGGGTTTTTTCAACTTCACGGACTCCGTTCGTCGACATTGGATCTCCCACAGTAGAGCCGACATTTTTGCTGGAATGGCGCGAATCCGTGATTTTAAGAGGTGAAGGGTTTTTGGGAATTCCCAAAAAATTGGTGTTTTTTATTTTGGTTTATCTGATCCGACTTTAGTTTTTAGGCGTAAATTTTTATTTTAAAAATGACTACGTTTTAATACATGTTTGTAAATAAAATGGCATTGTTACTATTATAACTTTTCAAAAATAGGAAAGTAATCAGTGAACACTATTTTTGTCATTTTTGCTCATTTTTTATGTCGGTCTTCAATTTATTCCTTTTTAATTAAAAAAAATACCTCAGAGTATAAGTTCATATTTGTATATCCTAATATCTATAAGTTATGCCCCAACATAATTTCAGTCTCTAAGGAACTTCTATTATCACTGGGCAAAAATTAAAGACCAACGACATAAGAGATGAAAACACTAGGAAAGGTATAAATATGAGGGTAATGCAACACTAGGAAAATAAGGATCGTATGTCCATTGTCCAACACAAAAATAGTTCTGCAAGACACAAGTTACTATCATTAGGATCACATCATCCACCATCAAACCAAGAGAGTCGCGAGAAAATCTCAATGTGCACGTACAATTCTAAGGTATAATAACATTTGGTGTTGGTCTAATATACCACAACTATAATACATTATAGTTCAAATAAAATGAACAAATAATTATTTAGGTTGAGGCATAGATATCTCAAGAAGATTCATGTTGACTGCGCCATAATCCACACCGATCCAATAGTATCACTTTTGACTTGTCTCCTCCAGCATACAACAGCCCAACAATGTGTACAACTCAAGCAACTCCTGAACATATTAGATATCGATAATCCTTTCTTCACCTCATATCACATCTAAATAAACTTTGTTATGTACCACGAGATGTGTTGTAAGCCCTCCACAATCTTTGTTATCCATCAAGAGACTAAAACATCAACAAGCTCGGAGTTTGTTGACTTCCAAGAGCTATTAAGGAAAACAACAAAGAGACACTAGTAGTAACTTCACACAAATGCCATCATCCTAAAGTTTCTCTCACAAGAAAATGAATGACAGCATAAATATGGTACAGTCAATCTCTCAGACAATGTTGATCGGATTATCTAGGTGGCCATTATTTTGGGGGTTATCTCCTCCAAGTATGCTAGATTTATGGACTTTTGACATCTTTAACCTCCCTAATGATTTACCTGCAATGGCTTATATATCATATCCCCGGGAATTGATGTTATCGAACAATCGTATTATGAGCATAACCTCAAGCAATTATATGCAATTGAACAGTCTAATTATGAGCATAATCTCAAGTAAAAGCATTAAACAACACTGTAAGCCTCATATACAACAGCTACAGATTATTTGCTTAAATAAAGTAGTGGGAACCATTTTCTTCCAAGTAAAAAAAACAGAGAGAGAGAGAGAACCATGTACGTATCATAGAATCTTGCGACATTCAAAACACATATGCAATGTCTAGAGTGCAACAATCAAAGGATTCTAACAAACCAAACAGCTGCACATCATAACATTTGGAATACCACAAGTTCAAAATTGTATTTGCATTAAATAAAAGCTAAAATATGAGGTAAACATTTCTAGTATGCCGAAACAACACAACTTCCAGTATGGTCATGCTAAGCTAACTCTTGGTACATAATCACAAAATTTGTTGATAATCTTGGACTGTCTAACAATTTCTTAGCCAACTGTGATAAATGCCGGGACACACAGTTCTCTGAACAAGTGGAGCATTTTCTTCTCTTTGCTACGATAACAAGTTTCTGCAAAGCCACTGCATTCTTTAGTAGAAAGTAAGAAAGTTCAAAAAGCTTACAAAAGCCTTCTTCAGACCACCTTTTCAAACATCTTGTTCCACAGCCGACAATCTTAACATTCTTGAGATTGGGAAACACAGTGTTTGGAATCCAACTCGGCAAATTGATGTTATCTACTTCGGCGAAATAGCTTTGCTCAAGCTGGCAGGGGGGATCGCAATACTGGAACAAACAATAAAATCAGGATCCAAGGCAGGTAGGTCTACAGTCATATGGAAATAGTCCATAGAAGACTTAAATGATCTCAAAGTAGAACAATTCTCAAAACACATAAATGCTGAGTAGTTCTCAGCAAATGATCATAATAGCAAATACCTATCAGAAACACATGTACAGTACATAAACCGTGCAAAAAGAGGTTTAATTGTCAATGATCATTTTCTTTCTTGAGCCCGTTTACTGAATAGAAAGCAACAACCTTGACCATTTTTGTTCTAAAATGACAAAATATTTTTAATGATATTATATTACCATTCTCCTTAAGAAACTCCTTTGGAGGGAACTAAGGGGGTTTAGAACTTCAAAAAGTGAATGAATGTAAAAAGAAGAGCATAAATAGAAAAAAATTGTGACCTCATATGTGATGTTTATGTTGAGTGACTCCAAAAGAGGCGAGGTTTGCAAAAGACTGGCTATTCCATACAGATTATACTCTGATACACGCAACTCTAGAGTTAGACATTTGCATCGCAATTCTGGAAGCATCACTCCTTCAAGTTTCATCATGAACACGACCTGGTGAAATAATCTCAAAGAAATTAGTGAAGCGTAGAAAAAGAACCAACTAGAAAGAAAGAGTAGTCCACAACAAAAAGATAGTGCTATGACAAATCTAACCATCCAAACACTCAAGGGCAAAAGCTTAGTTTCTAAAATAATCTATTGCCAGTACAGAAATATTCCCTCCATTTCAATTTGTTTGTCCGGTTTTGACTTGGCACAGAGTTAAAGAAAGTAAATAAGACTTTTGAATTTTGTGGTCCTAAACTAAAGATACATAGAATGTACCAAAATATTCTTTAATCTTATGGTCTTAAACATGTCACGTGGAAAATTAGAATTAAAAAGTTGTCAAAAACGAAAGAGACATTCTTTTTTAACGGACTAAAAAGAGAAGTAAGGCAAACAAATTGAGAAAATAAACATGATGATGATAAAAGTAACAAAAGGTGAGGATAAGATAATTCTATATACATTATAAATTTCCTTCCAATTATTCAACCAAAAGAAAACACTGAAATTCTCATGTTTGCAAAAATCTATAATTGTATGATATTCTAAAGATTCCACTTTCTTAGGCTTACATCCAGCAATTCTTTGCTAAAAATCAAATAGAGAAGACGCGAATAGAAACAAACCTCTGCAAACCAACATCCAATTATTAGCTCAGTTGCGTAACTCAACTTTTGAAGATAGTCTAGAATAAGGTTTCTGATAACTTGGTGATAATCACGACAACTGTCTTCCTTAATATCCTCGTAGTCAGTGATACAACAAATGCTAAAAGTGAGTCTGGCAATAACCAAAGAGGAGATATTTACTAGCATACACTTGAAATCTCCAAGTTCTCCTGAAATATCCAAATGCTTAAGATGTGGGGCAAAAATTTCCAAAGAATCATATTCTCCATTCAGAGGCTCTGAAGGGTATGTCAACGTTAGTCTCTTTAAATTAGAAGAAGTAATTTCTATACGACGACAAACCTTGCAAAACGACAGCTCCAAAGTTTCCAAAGCAGGACAACTTGACAGTAATATCACAATTTCATCAGCGTCTAACTCTACTGAGTCCAAAGTCAGGCTCTTTAGAGAGTTCCAAGCTATGTTCAATCCTTTATCAAACACCCAATGGCTCAAATACAATGTAATCAATGACGAACAAGTGTACATAGTTAAAGGCAATTCATAAGCGAGTTCGTCAGCACTTGGATAAAAATATAAGTGCGCATCTAACGCAACATCTTCTACTTTGTTTTCCACAGAAAAATTGAGTCATTGGCTGATTTCCGAATGAAATTTCCAGTCTGTATGATGAAAATCGAGTTGGAATTTTTTGATTTTGGAACAAGTTGAATGAGTTAAAACGTTGTCCACAAAGGATATGAAGTTTTCGAGTTTGTTGTAATTTCTATTACTGAAAAGGAAAGTATGAATTGAAGTCCAGAGATAACGCCACCTCTTTGAGAGAACACATGATTTGACGGCATCTTCGGTCGGCAAAAGAGAGAGAATTTGTACCAGGAGAACGTCCGGCAACTCACTGATACGATCTAGGGTTTCGACTCCATCTCCGGGGACTCTGTTCTTTTGTTTCTTCGACATTGAATCTCTCAAATTGCTGAAATGGAGCGAAGCTACGAGAAAGGGTTTTGGGTAGAGCATTCAACATGGACTAGGCCCGTTGGGTTGTTCTGACCTAATTCGTGATTTGATAGGGTTGAACTATAATTTTTGGAGTTCATTTATGAAAAGAGTGTTTTAGCCAGGCATGAATAAGTCTATCGATTTGTGCGACTTGACAAATATGGATAGGGATGGCCCATGGGCCAAATAAATATTAATTAAAAAATAAAAATAAAATAAAGTATTAAAAATAACAAGAGTCTAAATTCAATATTTGTTTAAAGTTTAAAATAGACGAAATGGTCTGGGAGATCCTTGTATTTGATTATGTTTGTATGTTGGACCCTTATACTTACGACTTTGTCAACTGGACCCTTGAACTCGATGAAACACAATATCTTAAACACATCTGACCATTGGCTGAACACATATGGCATTAATATTGCTGACTTGGAACAATGCGTAATTCCACGCGTTTTAAAGCAAGCATGTATAAAATTAATATGAAAAAAACATTAAAAAAAAATATTTAAAAATGAAAACAACAAAAAAAGGGGGGAAGTCATCTTCTTCAATGCCCCCCACCCCCGCCTCCCACCCCAACAAAATTTCTTATACCCATTCCACTTCTTTCTTTCTTTCTTTGGATTCACCCATCATTTTCCTTGTTCTTCTTCTTAACACCCCCACATACTGTCTCACCCCTAAATATTTTCTCAAAGTTCATTCTTTTTGCTGCAAATCAATTTCCCTCCTAGTTCTTTTCGTTTTGCCATGTTTGTTTTTTCAAGATTTCG